TCCTCCTCCTCCTCCTCCTCCTCCTCCTCCTCCTCCAGGGCGTGAGGCAGGACTTCTCTGCCATCAGGATCTAAAGAAGCCCTTTCACATAAGGCAGCTCCCACTCAGAAAGATGGTCTCAAATAGGAAGTCTAGGATGTAAGTCTCACTCTGGGGGAGAGAGGTTCTGGTTTCTAGGACAGGCCTTAGGGGAGAGGAATCTTGGTTTCTTTGACTCCTTTTTAGAGAGAAAAGGGGCCGGAGATGAGGGCTCCTGAGGCTGCCCCAAGGCCTTCCTTTTTTTTTTTAAAACAGGGTGTGTAGCTTTGGTGCCTGTCCTGGAACTCACTCTGTAGACCAGGCTGGCCTCGACCTCACAGAGATCTGTCTGCCTCTTCTGCCCGAGTGCTGAGATTAAAGGCGTGTGCCACCACCGCCTGGCTCTCCTTTATTTTTTTAAATTATTACATTGTGTGTGTGCCCATTATAACATATACATATATTTTCACACATGAAGAGGTCGGAGGACAACTTTCAGAAGTGATTCTCTCTTTCTATCATATGGGTCCAGGAGAACTAACTCAGGTCATCAGGCTTGGTAGTAGGTACATTTACCAGCTTAACCATCTCACTCCTGCCCCCCCCCTTCTCCTTTAATTCCAAATGTTCAGCCTGCCAAAGCACTGTAGTGCGGAGCATCCCTTTCTGAGCCCCTGACTTGTCCATTCTATCCTTTGCACAGATGGATGCCAACATCATCCAGCTAGATAAGGAACGACTGAGTCCTGGTCTGACCACAGCTCGGCAGACCTACAGATAACTGTGGCTGCCACCTCCGTACAAGAGAATGGTCACCGGGCTTCAGTTGTCATTGTCTCCTGTGTCTAGGCAACACTTAAAAGCCACTGGCTGTGCCACTGATGATGACAGCTATAACTGTGGTCAAGCATTTTGTCCTGTCCAGACTGCCTCGTTCCTAACACGTCACTAGGCAGGCAGGCCCTGGATGGCAGCCTGCTGATGTGCAGTGCTGACCTCTGAAGGCTGACCGGCCTGCCCTTCTCTTTCACACGTGTCCCATAGGAAGAGTGGCCATAGGCGAGTGGAGCTGTGAGCTTGCAGCCGGACCGAATGTACATGAGGAGGGTCCTGGAAATGCTGTAAGTGACAAGCAGAATCGGCAAACTGCTTTCCAGAGAGGGTGGGATGAAAGGGAGCCTCCCAAGGCCTGGTGCCCCTCTCCTTCATCCTTCATCCAGTGCAGGGTACAGCCTCTCCGGTCCATTGTCCACATGGGGCGGCCTTCCCTGCCTGACAGGGAAGTAATGGTTCAGTACCCTGGCCATCGTGACAGTCTGTCCGCCCCTGCCACCTCTCCCTTCAACCTGTCTGGAAGGACCTTGAGCAGAAAGTGACTCATAGACTCCTGTGCAAAAAATGAGGACCCCTCTCATGTCCCTCCTCCACACACGGCTGCATCTTCTGAGCCAAGACTGTCACACAGACACTGTCAACCACTCACACCAAAGTGGACCGGGCCTGTCCCCCTTCATACACCATCTGATTGCTGCTCCCTCCTCCACAGAGTCGCAGGGGATCATTTCAAAACCCAAAATCTTCTGGAGCCTCCCATTCAATTCCTAATGGTCCAGGACACAATGTGATCTTCAATATCTCTTACAGGGCTGGAGGCATTGATAAAGAGCTTGCCTAGCATGTGCAGGGTCCTGGGTTCAATCCCTAGCACCACAAAATGAAGAGGGAGAGGGAGGGAGGGAGGGAGGGAGGGAGGGAGGGAGGGAGGGAGGGAAGAGGGAGAGAGAAAGGGAGGCCCTGATGCATATGAGCTACACACAAAATAAAAAAATAAAATAAAATGTAATAAAAGTTTTTGTTTTTTTTTTTTTTTTTTTTAAGAAATATCTCTTCCTTCCAGTTCTAACATTGCCTACCCTCTGCCTGGACTTACAGGAGTTTTTAGCTTTGCCTGGAAATGCTTCCCCATGGCTCCTGTCACCCTCAGTGAACACACCAAGAAAGCCAGTTGACAGTATGTGCAAGGATCACGGGGAGATTGCAAAACAGACCAGGAGAGCCATCTGAGGGAGGCTCTGGTATGTTCTATGGGGAACTACAGAAAGTTCTTGATCAGAGGGATCGACTATTCCAGCTGCTATAGCCAAGCCCCATCAACTAGAGGGCAAATTAACAATTGGGTAGTTATTCCTCCTAGCTCTGGAGGCTGAGAAGTCTGAGACGGGGTGCCAGCAGGTTCCATGTGTGCTGAGAGCCCCACTTCTGGTTCACTGGCAGCCACATTTCCCCATGCCCCTAGAAGGGACAAGCTAGCCCTCTGGGGCCTGAGGGCACTAATCCCATCACAAGGGCTCCACTCCCATGACCCCATCACCTCCCAAAGACCCCCACCTCCCGATACTCAAAGGGTTGAGGTTTTAACATGTGAACTCTAGGAGGACACAAGCATTCAAACTATAGCGTTAGTAGTTTCTCTGGATGTCGTTGTCAGAAGGCTCAAGCTGAAACAAGGGGATTTACCTCTGCTTTTCTCCATCAGCTTCTGGAGAAGGAGGAGCACTGGGGAAGAGGACGGAAGGAGGAAGAAAAGTGGTGGAGATGAAGAGACAAGAGGAAAAGATCCTATCCTCCTGAACCAAAGACGTTGGAAACGGGAAGTGGGGTGGGGGTGGGGGGATTCTTCTGTTTCCCTCTGACGGAACAAAGAGAGAAATTAAGTGAAGAGGTCCTCCGGGGAGAGGTAAACACCGCCTTGGAGCCCACAGCAGAGGTGGACAAGCACCTCCTTTTGGAATGGAAGGAGTTTATAATAGAGTGGACAAGGAAGACAAGCCCTGCTGAGGCTTCTTGGTGAACCGACCCCACCCCTGCCCCCTGGAGCACTAAGATAAAAGGAAGAATCAGGCAAAGCCTCCTCGTGCTTGGGGTTCCTCTTGCTTCTCATCACCCTGTTCTATGATGAGAGCCACAGCCTTCCCATCTCCTGCTCTGTTTCAGGCCCCAGCCTCATTGGGGACATCCTCAGCTAACACACAGCCTTCAGGAAAAATGGTCCAGCTTGCCCAGGGACATCTGCAATTCTGTATCGATAAGAGATGCTGTCACTGTGGTTGTGTTTCTGAACCCCCAAGAAGGCACAGAGCCCAGAGTATGTAAGTGTACTCATGAGGCCCACAAAACAGTAAGTCCCAAACCAAACATGGTCTGTCTGGCCCTCTAAGCCTGTGACTCTGATGTCTAACGGGGCCCATGGGGAGAAGGTCAGCAGACAAGGGTACCTTTCATTGTCACCCTGGAGGAAGGGGGCAGCATTGTATTCCCACTGTCACCCTTCTTGTTATTCCTTTGGCAGAAGAGGCCTTCCCCTTGGAATTCTTCCTCCGCTGCCTTCCTGGGGACACAAAGGAAGATCCTGTTTATTTCCAGTCAAGGGAGTTGATGTTGGGGTCAGCCAGGACCAGCCAAACAGGAACTGATTCCTTAAATCTTCAGACTGCAGCGTAGCAGCCCAGAGCAGGACAGGGCCAGTTCCGCAGCTCCATGGCATTGTCTCCAGCCTGGCCGCCCTGCTTTCAAGGAAATGGAGGCCGCCGTTCAGACTCTCTACACTCAGACCTCAGCATGGGGGAAAAACACTAGATGTGTGCATACGAAATGCTCCTTGAGACTGCATCTGTCCCCCTTCAGGCCTGGGGGTCAGGGGAAGAACTGCAAGGAAGAGCAGGACGTTTGCATCACCTCTTCTAAGCTTGTGCACCTACAGCAGAGGACAGAAGGTGATAGACGCTCCCAACCCCTTCCAGTGTTCCTCAAATGTACACTGTGTGCCATCGGAATATCGGGCTTGGGAACCCCTTCTACAAATGCTAGTTCATTACCATTTCCTGCTACAATGTTTAACATGTTTCTCCCTCGGAGCCTCTCCTCACCTTCGTCAGGTTTTAATGGGTTTGGGCTTTTGTTGTTGAGGTTGTTGTTGCTCTGTGTGTGTGTGTGTGTGTCTGTTCTGTGTCTGTGTGTCTGTGTGTGTGTCTGTCTGTCTGTGTCTGTGTGTCTGTGTGTGTCTGTGTGTGTGTCTGTGTCTATGTCTGTGTCTGTCTGTCTGTGTCTGTGTGT